TCAGGCATACAGACAGAATATTGTATACATAATAAATAAATATTTAAAAAAAAAAAAAGAAAGAAAAAGAAAAAAGAATAGTGAGAGGCTAGAGAGATGGCTCAGAGGTTAAGAGCATTGCCTCCTCTTCCAAAGGTCCTGAGTTCAATTCCCAGCAACCACATGATGGCTCACAATCATCTGTAACGGTGTCTGGTGCCCTCTTCTGGCCTGCAGGCATACACACAGAGAATATTGTATACATAATAAATAAATAAATATTTTAAAAAAAGAATAGTGAGAAACAGCTGGATGAAGTGGTTTATATCTGTGGTCCTAGCATTTGCGAGACTATAGGATAACACTGGAAGGTTGTCATGAAGTAGGAGCTAACCTGGGCTATAAATGAGACTTATGGATGGGTTTGGGAATATGAATATGAGAATCAGTATTCCTGTCTCTGCTTCCCCGGTACTAAGATTACAGGTACAAACTACTGCCCTCGGCTTTTTTTTACATGACTGCTGGGAACCCAAACTCAGGTCCTCATGCTTACATAGCAAACACATTACTAAATGAGCCAATCTGCCCAGTAGGGTTTTTTTTTAATTACATTTAAATTTTTCTATAGTAAATCACGTTACTTCTGTACATTAAAAAAAAAAAATTTTTTTTTTTTTTTTGGATTTTCGAGACAGGGTTTCTCCGTAGCTTTTTTTGGTTCCTGTCCTGGAACTAGCTCTTGTAGACCAGGCTGGCCTAGAAGTCACAGAGATCTGCCTGCCTCTGCCTCCCGAGTGCTGGGATTAAAGGTGTGCGCCACCACCACCCGGCATAAAAAAAGTATTTAAAGACTATAAAACTAGGGCTGCCCAGGCCAAGTAGCATTGAAATGCGGTTCCTTCAGCAAATGTACACCTATCAGGAAACGTGAGCCTGTAGCCACCAACCAACATTCAGGTCAGCAGTCAATCTCTCCGTGACTCCCTATGGTACACGATTTCTGTGGCCAGGCGTGAAGTACAAAGCTGTGATTTACAGCAGGAGCTTGTGGAGTTCTGCTGGGGCCTTGTGATACAGCAGTCGGCCCTGCCCTCTACTGGTAAAAATGAGTAAAACATACCTGAATATGTGGGCTCTTCTTTTTCAAAAGCAAAGCCCACCTCCCTCCCCAGCTTGGTTTTAAAAGTGTCTCACTACTTGGCCTGGCCTCTGCCTCCTGAGTGCTAGGATTAGAGGCATGTGTCATGCCTGATACTAAAGCATTTCCTAAAATATGGCATAAAGGACCCTGGTTGCCGAGATGTGTCAAGGACAAAAGAATTCCATAATAACTGTCCTAGTTTGATTGTTGTGATAAACACCATGACCAAAAGCAACTTGGGGAGAAAGTTTTTTGTTTTTTTTGTTTTTTTGTTTTTTGTTTTGGCTTACAGGTTAAAGTTCATCATCTAGGGATACCAAGGCAAAAACTAGTGACAAGCAAAAGTCACAGAGAGGGCCGGGCGGTGATGGCGCACGCCTTTAATCCCAGCACTCGGGAGGCAGAGGCAGGTGGATCTCTGTGAGTTCGAGACCAGCCTGGTCTACAGAGCTAGTTCCAGGACAGGCTCCAAAGCCACAGAGAAACCCTGTCTTGAAAAACCAAAAAAAAAAAACAAACAAACAAAAAAAAAAAAGTCACGGAGAACTGCTGCTTACTGGCTTGCTCCCCACGGTCTGCCCACCTTACTTTCTATACAACCATGGACCAGCTGCCCAGGGGTGGCACCGCCTACAGTGTGACCTCCCACATCAATCATTAATGAAGAAAATGCACCGCAGACAAGCCTACAGGTCAATCTAATGGAGGCATTTTCTCATTGAGGTTCCCTTTTAGCTTGTATCAAGTTAGAGGGAAGGAGGGAGGGAGGGAGGGAGGGAGGGAGGGAGGGAGGGAGGGAGGGACTGAAAACTGACTAGTACAGAAACACTGAGACAAGGTTGGGGATCTACAGAGGTACACATGTCAGGTCCTAAGTTTTGTCTCCAGCATCACACACAAAAAGAGATTTAAACATGTAAAACAATGCTGCTCTCCCTCAGTTATTTCTCCTTTAACATGTCCTTACAAGGTAAACTAGAGATGTACATCTGTTACTGTAACACTTGGAAGGATGAGGCAGAAAGATTGTTTCAAGTCAAGGCCAGCCTAGTCTACACAGTAAATTTTAGGATAGCTTTAGCAAAAGAATAAGACCTGCCCCATCCACCCCCCAAAATCTACCCTCACCAAAAAAAAGAGGCGAGTGAATGGCACAGCATTGCAATCTGAGAACTTGGGGGCAGAAGCAGGCAAATCCCCAAAGTCTGAGGCCAACATGTTCTATACAGCAGGTGCCAAGGGCACATAGCTAGACCCTGCCTCAAATACACACATACACATACATGCACACACGCATGCGTTGCAGCAGTAAACTAAACTGGTAGAGCATGTGTAAATACAGACCTGAGATTTGATGCCCAGAACCAAAACCAAACAGAATAAAAAAAGTCAGTTTGGGATTTAAAAAAAAAAAAAAAAAAAGCCCGGCAGTGACGGCGCACACCTTAAAAAAACTTTTAAAAAGTTATTTAAGGGCTAGAGAGATGGCTCAGTGGTTAAGAGCATTGCCTGCTCTTCCAAAGGTCCTGAGTTCAATTCCCAGCAACCACATGGTGGCTCACAACCATCTGTAAAGAGGTCTGGTGCCCTCTTCTGGCTTGCAGGTATACACACAGACAGACAATGTATACATAATAAATAAATATTTTTAAAAAAAAGTTATTTAAAAAAAATTAAAAATGAAAAGAGAAAAGCAGCATCCTGACTCACACAGTACATACATATACGACATAGGATAATGTTAGAGGGATGGAGATAATGCTCAGCGGCTGAGAGTACTGGACGCTCTTTCAGAGACCCGAAATTGGGTTCCCAGCACCCACATTAAGGAGTTCACTGCCTCCTTCCAAGGGATCTAATGCCCTCTTCTGGTCTTCATGGGCACTCGCACACATGCATATACACACAGGTATACACATGCACATAAATAAAAATAAAATAAATATTTTTAAAAGATTTATTTATTTTGGGCTGGAGAGATGGCTCAGGGGTTAAGTGCACTGGCTGCTCTCCCAGAGGACCTGAGTTCAATTCCCAGCAACGACATGGTGGCTCACAACCACCTGTAATAAGATCTGGTGCCCTCTTTTGGTGCTCAGGCATACATGCAGGCAGAAAACACTGTCTACATAAAAAATTTTTTTTTTCCCTTGGTTTTTCGAGACAGGGTTTCTCTGTAGCTTTTGGAGCCTGTCCTGGAACTAGCTCTTGTAGACCAGGCTAGCCTCGAACTTACAGAGATCCATCTGCCTCTGCTTTCCGAGTGCTGGGTTAAAGGTATGCGCTACCACCACCGGGTTGTAAATCTTTTTTTTGGGTGGGGGAGGTTCAAGACAGGTTTTCTCTGTAGCTTTGGAACCTGCCCTGGAACTAGCTCTTGTAGACCAGGCTGGCCTCGAACTCACAGAGATCCGCCTGCCTCTTTTTTTTCTTTTACTATGGGAGTTGGAGGGATGGTTGTTGGTTAAGACCACTGGCCGCTCTTGAGAGAACTGGGGTTCAGGTTCCAGTACCCACGTGACAGCTCACAACTGCCTGTAACTCCAGGTTCCAGGTAATCCGACCCCCTCTTAGGGCCTCTGTGGGCTCCTGCACGCATATGGCACACACAAACACACTCATAGAAATAGGTACACACACATATTCGTAGGACTAATAAATAATATCTATACTTTGCCATTGACTCTTTTTGTTTGTTGTTTCTTTTCAAGACAGAATTTCTCTGTGTAGCCCTGGCTGTCCTAGAACTAACTCACTCTGTAGACCAGGCTGGACTCAAACCCAGAGACTCTTCTTCCTCTGCCTCCAGAGTGCTGGGACATCACTGCCCCGCTGCCATAGACTCTTAATTGAGGCGTATAGTATATTCATCATGCTTTTAGTGAAAGAAACTGCACTTACTCGTTTTACTCTGGGCAATTCCCAATGTACCTAAGCCTTCCTCTGCAAAAACGAATGTGAACACTTCCTATGTCAGGAGACTAGAGGATATCACATAAACGGAACACTGTGGGACTGCCACTTAGTAGGCTTTCATCTAACTTCTTTTCACTTCCCTCTAGTCCAGTGTAACGTTTGGGATCGCCTTTTGAAGCGGAGAGTATTCACCTGACATGTGCCTTTACCTTGGCAGTTCGACCTCCCCGCCTATACATAACTGTATTTATAAGTAGGGCCTTATTTCTTCCCCGCTTCCCTACATTTCCAGATAGCACCGGATGCTCTATTCTGAATAATTTGCCGTAGTCCGAGATTGGGCAGAACTGTGTTCAAGGTCCATGGTTGGTCCACTAACATGACCACGTGATTTGGGGCGAGGTCCAGGGCAGCCTTGACTAGAGGGTGATACCCTGTCTAAAAGAAAGAAAACCAAACCAAACCAAAAAGGTGCATGGTGATGCCTGCCTAGCCCCAGCACTTGAGAGGCAGAGGCAGTCAAACCACCACAAACTGGGACGCGACAGGAAAGGGCAGCGCAAGGTTTCGCCATTCCCTAGGGGCCTTCAGATTCTAAACTGGGAAGGGTCAACCCAACACATCCCTGATACCAGAATGGAAACCCCTAAACATCTTCCTCAAACTCTGCCAAAACGCCCCTGCTCCGCATCTCCGGGTCACTTGGCATTTTGCACAGATCTCGAGCGTGCCCGGAGCCCTCTGGCGACTGAGACCTCACATTACACCTGTGTGAAGGTGTCGCCACAGTCCCCGCTTCTGAGCGGGGCAGGAGGCAACAGTGAGGCGCGCGATGGACCTCGGCCGGATCGCGGGCCCTCCGGAGCTTTAGTTTGCTTAAGTTTTAAGTGAGACTGGACAGGGCCCAAACGGCCCCAGGAGTGGGACTGAGAACCCGGGAGGGCCTGAGGGGAGCATGCTGTGGCAGCCAGGGCAAGCCTAGGAGACGTCTCCCGCGGCGCCGCGAGCCTCAGGGCCAGCCTCGTGCCAAGATTCGTCCTCTCACCTCCCGGGCTCAGCAGCAGCTTCAGCGCTTCCAGAATCGGTTCCAGACCACATGTCTCCAGAATTCCGCTCGGCGCAGCCGTCGCCGGCTGCGGAGTCGCCATGATTGGAGCGGAGCTCGGCTCCTGAGATGCGCTCTGACGCACTAGTGGACCAGCGTGGCCGCCATGTTGAGTGTGGCGGGCGGCGTGCCCGAGGCCGGGGGTGGGGCCTGCTCTGCCGGGAACGCCCCTTCCCTGTAACTGCTTTTTCTGGTCTCCTTTATTCCTCTGAGCACGATTTTTATGTTGTTCTTTCAGAAGTCCCAAGTTCAATTCCCAGAATCCATATCGGTAACCACCCTGTTCCCCAGGTTCGTGGGGAGTATAAAACCTCAGATGCACACAAAAACACGCACAAGCATAATTTAAAATGTTCTTTAAAAGAAAATATAATTAAAAGACAAAAGAAAGGACAAGCATGGTGGCACATCTTTTTTATTTTTTTTATTTATTTATTTTTGGTGGCACATATGTTTAAGCCTAGTACTTGGAAGCAGAGGCCAGTGTGGTCTACATAGCAAGTACCAACCAGGTCAGTCAGAAAGAAAAAGGAAAGGACACTATTTGTCTTACACATGCCTCTAGTCCCAGCTACTATAGAGGCTATAGCAGGAGAATCAGAAGTTCAAAGATAGCCTACACATCTTAGTAAGACCCTGTCTCAAAAATAATAAAAGGTTTGGAAATGTTACCCAGCGATAGAGCACAAGACCATGAGTTCAATCTTCAGTATTAAGACCACCAAAAAAAGAAAAAAAGAGTTTCTTGTAAAATAATAAGCATTTCAGTATGAAAATGCTCAAGTACTGAAACCCAATAAAACAATGTTCACAGCTGTACATAGAACCAGGAGGAGAAGTTCACACCAATGATACCAGCATTCGAGGAGGCTGATGTCAGAGAATCATGGGTTCAGAACCCTGTCTCAAAAAGCAACAATAGCAAAACGTAGTAAACTAAGTATTATCAATTATGTGACATTTAAAAATAAATATACACGGGGCTGGAGAGATGGGTCAGTGGTTTAGAGAGTATTTGTTGTTTTTGTAGAGATTCAGGTTCAATTCCCATCACGACATGGTGCCTCACAACCATCTATAACTCCAGTTCTGGGGGATCAAATACCCTCTCCTGGCCTCCAAGAGGAACAGCCATACATGTGATGCAAAGACATACATGCAGGCAAAACACACATAACTATAAAGTAAAATAATTCTTTAAAAATTCTAAAAGTAAACATACACATACATATATCCTCCATGAATGTGATAGCTACAAACATCACCATTGGTATATGTATTTGTTTATTGGGGACAGAGATTAAAGCCAGAGCCCCTAGATCATGCTCTCTGCCAATAAACTGCATCGGCACCCCCAGTGGTAAGGTTCTTAAATGTCTTTAGTAAAGCTCCTCTTTGTTCTATTTATACGGCTCTTGCATTACTAGAAAATTCATTTTATACTAAAACCATAACCCCCCCAAGTCATGTTTACATGGAAGAGAGTTTGAGATTCAGTATCATCAGCGATAGGCTTTTCACCTCCATAATTCCTGGTGGGACATTCAAAGATCTCAAGACAATGCTTTTTATTTTTAATTAATATTTAGTTAGCATAAGGATAATTCATTATGACATTTATGCCACACACACACCGTTGTCCTTTGCTGGTATACCCTACTCCAGCCCATTGCTCCCCTTCTTCATCTTCCTCTCTCTTACCGGTCCTCTTCCTGCCCCAGGACAATGCTTCTGGGAACACACTCTTTAGTGTATCTGCCCTCCCCAGTGAACACCCCTGGCTGCACTCAGGAGGCTGAAGCAGGAAGAAAAAAAAAAAAAAAGACAAAGGCCAACCATGGTCCTCTATCATTGCCACTTTCCTCTCAAGACCTAGTGTATAAAAAGCTCCTTGACCATCCCTGAGGCGCACTGGGCCTGAGGTGCACTGGGCCTGAGGCACACTGGGGTGGAGCATGGCTGACTCCTGCCCTTCCAAATTAATGGCTAGAAATCTTGGGGAGCAAAACAGTCCTCATGTAGCCAGTCATGGGGGAAGAAAAAGTTCAACTTCACGGTGGCGGCTTTAATCCCAGTACTCACCAGCAGAGACAGGTGGATCTCTGAGTTCAAGGCCAGCTTGGTCTAAGAAGTCATGTGTGCACTGAGAAACCCTGTCTCGATGGCGGAGTGGGCAAGAAGGAACCAAACCATAGCTTCCAGCTGAAATGACTTCTTGAATCCCAGCACTTGGAAGGTAGAGGCAAACAGACCCCTCTGAGTTTTAAGCCAACCATAACTACAAAGTTCCAGGTTACCCAGGGATACACAGTTCAGACCCTTCCTGCTCCCCTACCCCTCCACCCTGACCGTTAGCCAGTAAACATCATTGCTCCATGGATTCTGCTTCAAGTCCCTGCCCTGACTTCCCTCAGTGATAGACTGTGCCCTGAAAGTGTAAACCAAACAAACCCTTTCCTCCCCGAGTTATTTTTCTCAGTTGTTTAATGACAGTGACACTAAGACACCAGTTTCTTCCTAACTTAAAGACTAGAGTCAATCTAGGCATTTGTGCTCAGGGAGCTGAGACAGGGTTGCAAATTCAAGGACAGTGTGAGCTACCCTAGACAGCAGTTTAAGGCGGGTCTAGACTACAGTGAGACACTGGCTTAAAAACAAAAGACCAAGAACAAGACACACTGACTTTTGCCAGGATCCAGACATTTTATTTGCTGCATTCTCTTTATCAGCTCCAAGGGCGGATGCAGGTTGTGTCCACATCAGTATAAGAGGCCATGCCCCAGTAGGCGGATAATCACAGGCGGCAGGTCTTCCTACAGCACCCAGTACCACAAAAAGCATAGGTTTAAAACGAAGGAAACACAGAGGATAGTTCTGTGGTTAAGTGCATACTGCTCTTCTGGGACTCAGTTTCAGTTTCTAACACACACACACACACACACACACACACACACACACACAGGTTGGCACACAATTGCCTCTTACTAGCTGTAGAGGATCTGAAACCTCTGACCTCCAAGGGCACCAGCATTCACATATACACTTACAATCTTATTTGGTGGGTGGTTCAAAACATGGTCTGTGTGTGTAGCCCTGGAGGTAATCAACTCTCTCTGTAGCCCAGGCTGGCCTCAAACTCAGAAATCTGCCTGCTTCTGCCTCCTGAGTGCTGGGATTAAAGGTGTGAGCCACCACTGCCCAGCTCAACACATTTTTAAAAAAAACTAAAAGCTAAATAAAAAATTTACAGGGCTGGAAAGATGGCTCAGAGGTTAAGAGTACTGACTGCTCTTCCAGAGGTCCTGAGTTCAATTCCCAGGAACCACATGGTGGCTCACAGCTATCTGTAGTGAGATCTGGTGCCCTCTTCTGGCCAGCAAGCATACAGACAGACAGAACACTATACATAATAAATAAATAAATCTAAAAAAAAATTTACAAAAGAGTAAGCATTACTAAGCTGGGGGCAGATCTGAATGGTTGGACCCTACTAGCAAGCTCAGAGCCCTAGGTTCAAGCTCTAGTGTCATGGAATGGGGGGGAAGAGAGTGGAAGGGAATTGATAAATGTCTCTCAGGATGAGGCCACACCATATTCACGCAGAATCACTGCCTCCACTATCAAATATTTACTGACCGCAGAGGAAACTGTGGGTTTGCTTCTGTCCCATTGACCTTGGCACTGCTTGCTCTTCAGAGGCCACTCTGAGCAGTGGCCTTGTGTGTGCATTTCCTCCCCAGGCAGAAGGAATAAAAGCACAGAGAAGTCATTTCAGCTGCAAGCTCCCTTCTCCACGGTTTGGCTCCTTCCCGCCACTTCGTAGACCATGCTGGCCTTGAACTCAGAGATATACCTGCCTCTGCCTCTCCAGTGCTGGGATTCTGAGCTCACCTCCTTTGTCTTTTTGTCTCACTTGGAATTCTGGTAGAGTCAAATCAATCGAACGTCACAACAGTTTAACAAAACTCTTTAATAAAATTTATAAAAATGTATCTTAGAACAGTTTTAATCTTTTACCTTTCCACTCCCCACAAAATACAAAATTATCAGTACCCACACACATATACACTCAAACTACATACAAGTGACACTCTACACTAACTACAGTAGACATTTAAACTACAGAGAAATCAACAGTTCTCACAGTTGATTGTAGTCATTATTTTCTTCCAAAAAATAGTCGCGAGTAAAGCACTTTTAACAAAATTCTCTCCAGTGGTTATCAAAGCTGAAATTTGCATTTTTAATTAAAAGACTCAAATCAAGGCCCTCGCCCCCTTTCTCCCATTGGAACAGTGTTTCTTCCCGCTTCTACGAGAAAATGCACAATTTCTAATAGTCTCAGTTTTCTATGCATACTTGGCCCAACTCAGCCAGCATTTTCCGTAGCTACCATCAAAAGCAGGCATTGGAAGGGCATGCTTCCTGGGCTTCGGAAGCTGCAGAAAAGGACTCCAGCCAGGAAGCACATGGTGAGACCCCTCTATTCTTCCAGAAGTTTTCTGAGAAAGAGTTCAAGCCTCACCATCAGCGTGTGAGCTGGCCAGGCACCGTGACACACGTGCTGCCCACGAGCCAGTCTCTCGCATTTGCTCTCTGTCTTTGGCTGCAGCACGCTGGGCACTGGGGAGTCTCAGAGCACACGGCTCTTTTACGTTGGTGTGAAGGAAGCATAAGAAACCAAAGGGGGCCTGAAAGCCTTCCTACTAGCTATGGTCATGGCTCCCTATAGAGAACTGGAGCAACACATCCCACTATGGTTTTCACCTAGAAGACAGTGACTCCACACAAGGAATGCCCATTTCAAGTGAGAAATCCGGAGGTGAGGAAGGAAAACCACGAAGGTCTTTAAATCACACAATACCCCTTCAGTCGCACCCCTACCACGATACCTGTCTCTCACCACAAAAAGACCCAGTCACTTCCGTATCATAGAATATAGCACCTGGGCAGGGCAACAGAATTCAGGAGCATAAGTGGGTATGAGAATACAGAACACAAACATAATAACTGTGGGAAAGTACACAATTTAAAAATTTTAGTGCGAGGTGAAGGGCTTGGAACTTGCTTAGATCCCTAGCTCAAAAACAAAAACAAACCATTTCCTATACACAATGAAAGAGA